TCCTCTCACTCACACACATACACTCTCACTAACACACACTCTCACATACACTCTCACACACACTCCTCTCACTCACTCACACTCTCACACTCCTCTCACTCACAAACTCTCACTAACACACTCTCTCACTAACACACACTCACACTCTCACACACTCCTCTCACTCACACACACTCTCACTCACTCCTCTCACTCACTCACACTCACTAACACACACTCCTCTCACTCTCTCTCACTAACACACACTCCTCTCACTAACACACACTCTCACAAACTCTCACTCCTCTCACTCACTCACAAACTCTCACTCACACACACACTCTCACGCACACTCTCACTAACACACACTCTCACTAACACACACTCACTAACACACTCTCACACTCCTCTCACTAACACACACTCATCTCACTCACTCACACACTCTCACTCACAAACTCTCACTAACACTCACTCTCACACACTCCTCTCACTGTCACAGTCACACTCCTCTCACTCTCACACTCTCACTGTCACACTCCTCTCACTCTCACTGTCACACTCCTCTCACTGTCACACTCCTCTGTCACACTCCTGTCACTCTCACTCTCACTGTCACTCCTCTCACTGTCACACTCCTCTCACTGTCACACTCCTCTGTCAGTCACACTCCTCTCACTGTCACACTCTCACTCTCACTGTCACACTCCTCTCACTGTCACACTCCTCTCACTGTCACACTCCTCTGTCACACTCCTGTCACTCTCACTCTCACTGTCACACTCCTCTCACTGTCACACTCCTCTCACTGTCACACTCCTCTGTCAGTCACACTCCTCACACTGTCACACTCCTCTCACTGTCACACTCCTCTCACTCTCACTGTCACACTCCTCTCACTGTCACACTCCTCTCACTCTCACTGTCACACTCCTCTCACTGTCACACTCCTCTCACTGTCACACTCCTCTCACTCTCACTGTCACACTCCTCTCACTCTCACACTCCTCTCACTGTCACACTCCTCTCACTGTCACACTCCTCTGCCACACTCACTGTCACACTCCTCACACTCTCACTGTCACACTCCTCACACTCTCACTGTCACACTCCTCTCACTGTCACACTCCTCTCACTGTCACACTCCTCTCACTCTCACTGTCACACTCCTCTCACTCTCACCTCACTGTCACACTCCTCTCACTGTCACACTCCTCTGCCACACTCACTCACTGTCACACTCCTCACACTCTCACTGTCACACTCCTCACACTCTCACTGTCACACTCCTCTCACTGTCACACTCCTCTCACTCTGTCACACTCCTCACTGTCACACTCCTCTCACTCTGTCACACTCCTCACTGTCACACTCCTCTCACTGTCACACTCCTCTCACTAACACACTCCTCTCACTCTCACTGTCACACTCTCCCTAACACGCACACTCTCACACTCTCACTCACACACACTCCCTCTCACACTCTCACAAACACTCCTCTCACTCACTCACAAACTCTCACTAACACACTCTCACTAACACACAAAGTCTCACTAACACACACTCCTCTCACTCACTCACACACTCACAAACTCTCACTAACACACTCTCACATACACTCTCACACTCTCACTAACACACTCCTCTCACTCTCACTCACACTAACACACACTCTCACTAACACACACTCACACTAACACACACTAACACACTCCTCTCACTCACTCACACACTCTCACACTCTCACTAACACACTCCTCTCACTCACACACATACACTCTCACTAACACACACTCTCACATACACTCTCACACTCTCACTAACACACTCCTCTCACTCACACACATACACTCTCACTAACACACACTCTCACATACACTCTCACACACACTCCTCTCACTCACACTCTCACACTCCTCTCACTCACAAACTCTCACTAACACACTCTCTCACTAACACACACTCACACTCTCACACACTCCTCTCACTCACTCACACACACTCTCACTCACTCACACTCACTAACACACACTCCTCTCACTAACACACACTCCTCTCACTAACACACACTCTCACAAACTCTCACTCCTCTCACTCACTCACAAACTCTCACTCACACACACACTCTCACGCACACTCTCACTAACACACACTCACTCTCTCACACTCATCTCACTCACTCACACACTCTCACTCACAAACTCTCACTAACACTCACTCTCACACACTCCTGTCACTCTCACTGTCACACTCCTCTCACTGTCACACTCCTCTCACTGTCACACTCCTCTCACTCTGTCACACTCCTCTCACTGTCACACTCCTCTCACTGTCACACTCCTCTCACTCTCCCTGTCACACTCCTCTCACTCTCCCTGTCACACTCCTCTGTCACTGCCACACTCCTCTCACTGTCACACTCCTCTCACTGTCACACTCCTCTCACTGTCACACTCCTCACACAGTCACTGTCACACTCTTCACACTCTCACTGTCACTCTCACTGTCACACTCCTCTCACTCTCACTGTCACACTCCTCTCACTGTCACTGTCACACTCCTCACACAGTCACTGTCACACTCCTCACACAGTCACTGTTACTCTCACTGTCACACTCCTCTCACTCTCACTGTCACACTCCTCTCACTGTCACACTCCTCACTCTCACTGTCACACTCCTCTCACTGTCACACTCCTCTCACTCTCACTGTCACACTCCTATCACTGTCACTGTCACACTCCTCTCACTGTCACTCTCCTCTCACTGTCACACTCCTCTCACTCTCACTGTCACACTCCTCTCACTCTCACTGTCACACTCCTCTCACTCTCACTGTCACACTCCTCTCACTGTCACACTCCTCTCACTGTCACACTCCTCTCACTCTCACACTCCTCTCACACTCCTCTCACTGTCACACTCTCACTGTCACACTCCTCACTCTGTCACACTCCTCTCACTGTCACACTCCTCTCACTCTCACTGTCACACGCCTCACCCTGTCACACTCCTCTCACTGTCACACTCCTCTCACTGTCACACTCCTCTCACTGTCACTGTCACACTCCTCTCACTGTCACACTCCTCTCACTGTCACACTCCTCTCACTGTCACACTCCTCTCACTCTCACTGTCACACTCCTCTCACTGTCACACTCCTCTCACTGTCACACTCCTCTCACTGTCACACTCCTCTCACTCTCACTGTCACACTCCTCTCACCGTCACACTCCTCTCACTGTCACTCCTCTCACTGTCACACTCCTCTCACTGTCACACTCCTCTCACTCTCACTGTCACACTCCTCTCACTGTCACACTCCTCTCACTCTCCTCTCACTCTGTCACACTCCTCTCACTGCCACACTCCTCTCACTGCCACACTCCTCTCACTGTCACACTCCTCTCACTGTCACCGTCACACTCCTCTCACTGCCACACTCCTCTCACCGTCACACTCCTCTCACCGTCACACTCCTCTCACTGTCACACTCCTCTCACTCTCACACTCCTCTCACTGTCACACTCCTCTCACTCTCACTGTCACACTCCTCTCACTGTCACACTCCTCTCACTCTCACTGTCACACGCCTCACCCTGTCACACTCCTCTCACTCACACTCCTCTCACTGTCACACTCCTCTCACTGTCACACTCCTCTCACTGTCACACTCCTCTCACTGTCACTGTCACACTCCTCTCACTGTCACACTCCTCTCACTCTCACTGTCACACTCCTCTCACTCTCACTGTCACACTCCTCTCACTGTCACTGTCACACTCCTCTCACTGTCACACTCCTCTCACTGTCACACTCCTCTCACTGTCACTGTCACACTCCTCTCACTGTCACACTCCTCTCACTCTCACACTCCTCTCACTGTCACTGTCACACTCCTCTCACTGTCACACTCCTCTCACTGTCACACTCCTCTCACTGTCACACTCCTCTCACTGTCACACTCCTCTCACTGTCACACTCCTCTCACTGTCACACTCCTCTCACTGTCACACTCCTCTCACTGTCACACTCCTCACACTGTCACACTCCTCTCACTGTCACTGTCACACTCCTCTCACTCTCACTGTCACACTCCTCTCACTGTCACACTCCTCTCACTGTCACACTCCTCTCACTGTCACTGTCACACTCCTCACTGTCACACTCCTCTCACTGTCACTGTCACACTGTCACACTCCTCTCACTGTCACACTCCTCTCACTCTCACTGTCACACTCCTCTCACTGTCACACTCCTCTCACTGTCACTGTCACACTCCTCTCACTGTCACTGTCACACTCCTCTCACTGTCACACTCCTCTCACTGTCACTGTCACACTCCTCTCACTGTCACACTCCTCTCACTGTCACTGTCACACTCCTCTCACTGTCACACTCCTCTCACTGTCACACTCCTCTCACTGTCACTGTCACACTCCTCTCACTGTCACACTCCTCTCACTGTCACACTCCTCTCACTGTCACACTCCTCTCACTCTCACTGTCACACTCCTCTCACTCTCACTGTCACACTCCTCTCACTGTCACTGTCACACTCCTCTCACTGTCACACTCCTCTCACTGTCACACTCCTCTCACTGTCACACTCCTCTCACTGTCACACTCCTCTCACTGTCACTGTCACACTCCTCTCACTGTCACACTCCTCTCACTGTCACTGTCACACTCCTCTCACTGTCACACTCCTCTCACTGTCACACTCCTCTCACTGTCACACTCCTCTCACTGTCACTGTCACACTCCTCTCACTGTCACTGTCACACTCCTCTCACTGTCACTGTCACACTCCTCTCACTGTCACACTCCTCTCACTGTCACACTCCTCTCACTGTCACACTCCTCTCACTGTCACACTCCTCTCACTGTCACACTCCTCTCACTGTCACACTCCTCTCACTGTCACACTCCTCTCACTGTCACACTCCTCACACTGTCACACTCCTCTCACTGTCACACTCCTCTCACTCTCACTGTCACACTCCTCTCACTGGTCACACGGTTGAGCTATTTGCACTTTTATTCTGGGTGTCACAGGTAGTGGTGGTGGTGCCGGCAGTCGCAGTTGTTGCTCATCCCCCCCCCCCCCCCCCCGGGGCGACCCCTGACCCCCGTCGACCCCCGACCCCCGGCGACCCCCGGCGACCGTCTTAGATTTTATTGAAGGCAGCGACGTCCACCGACTGAACGTGATCCTCAAACGCCACGATGGCCTCCTCCAGCAGGTCCACGCTCACCTGGCGAGGGTCGGGCGAGGGGGATAGACAGTGCGGGTGAGAGAGCTTCAGTGGATGAGCGAGCGAGCGAGCGGCCGAGAGGGCGAGCGAGCGGCCGAGAGGGCGAGCGAGCGGCTGAGCGAGCGGCCGAGAGGGCGAGCGAGCGGCCGAGAGAAAGAGCGAGTGGCTGAGAGAGCGAGCGGCTGAGAGAGCGAGCGGCTGAGTGAGAGAGCGAGCGGCTGAGTGTTTCAACGAGTGGGGCGACTCACTTTGTCATCCTCCACCACACACTGGATCTGTAGCTTCTTGATTCCGTAACCAACGGGGACGAGTTTGGCTGTGGAAACATCATCACCACCATCATCAACATTACCATCGTCACCACCATCATCATCACCACCATCAACCACCACATCATCATCACCTCCATCATCGTCATCACCACCACATCATCATCACCACCACCATCAACATTACCATCGTCACCACCACCAACCACATTACCACCACCACATCATCATCGTCACCACCACCATCATCATTATCACCATCATCATTATCACCACCACCACCACCTCCTCCTCCACCACCATGATGGTAGTGTAGTGTGTAGAGCGTACGGCAGTAGTAGCAGCTCAGTGCATTGACACTGTGGCAGTGTAGTAGTGTACTAGTGTATAGTGTGGTAGTGTATAGTGTGGTAGTGTATAGTGTGGTAGTGTATAGTGTGGTAGTGTATAGTGTGGTAGTGTATAGTATAATAGTGTAGTAGTAGCAGAAGTGTATAGTGTAGTAGTAGCAGAAGTGTATAGTGTAGTAGTAGCAGAAGTGTATAGTGTAGTAGTAGCAGTAGTGTATAGTGTAGTAGTAGCAGTAGTGTATAGTGTAGTAGTAGCAGTAGTGTATAGTGTAGTAGTAGCAGTAGTGTATAGTGTAGTAGTAGCAGTAGTGTATAGTGTAGTAGTAGCAGTAGTGTATAGTGTAGTAGTAGCAGTAGTGTATAGTGTAGTAGTAGCAGTAGTGTATAGTGTAGTAGTAGCAGTAGTGTATAGTGTAGTAGTAGCAGTAGTGTATAGTGTAGTAGTAGCAGCGTATAGTGTAGTAGTAGCAGTAGTGTATAGTGTACTAGTAGTAGCGTATAGTGTACTAGTAGTAGCGTATAGTGTACTAGTAGTAGTGTATAGTGTACTAGTAGTAGTGTATAGTGTACTAGTAGTAGTGTATAGTGTACTAGTAGTAGTGTATAGTGTACTAGTAGTAGTGTATAGTGTAGTAGTAGTGTATAGTGTAGTAGTAGTAGTGCATATAGTGTAGTAGTAGTGGTGCATATAGTATAGTAGTGGTGCATATAGTGTAGTAGTAGTGTATATACTGTAGTAGTAGTGTATATACTGTAGTAGTAGTGTATATAGTGTAGTAGTAGTGTATATAGTGTAGTAGTAGTGTATATACTGTAGTAGTAGTGTATATACTGTAGTAGTAGTGTATATAGTGTAGTAGTAGTGTATATAGTGTAGTAGTAGTGTATATAGTGTAGTAGTAGTAGTGTATATAGTGTAGTAGTAGTGTATATACTGTAGTAGTAGTGTATATAGTGTGGTAGTAGTGTATATAGTGTGGTGGTAGTGTATATAGTGTGGTGGTAGTGTATATAGTGTGGTGGTAGCGTATAGTGTGGTGGTAGCGTATAGTGTGGTAGTAGCGTATAGTGTAGTAGTAGCGTATAGTGTAGTAGTAGCGTATAGTGTAGTAGTAGCGTATAGTGTAGTAGTAGCGTATAGTGTAGTAGCAGCGTATAGTGTAGTAGCAGCGTATAGTGTAGTAGTAGCGTATAGTGTAGTAGTGTATAGTGTAGTAGTAGTGTATAGTGTAGTAGTAGTGTATAGTGTAGTAGTAGTATATAGTGTAGTAGTATATAGTGTAGTGTATAGTGTAGTAGTGGTGTATAGTGTAGTAGTAGTGTATAGTGTAGTAATAGTGTATAGTGTAGTAGTGTATAGTGTAGTAGTAGTGTATAGTAGTACTAGTGTATAGTGTAGTAGTAGTGTATAGTGTAGTAGTAGTGTATAGTGTAGTGGTAGTGTATAGTGTAGTAGTAGTGTATAGTGTAGTAGTAGTAGTGTATAGTGTGGTAGTAGCGTATAGTGTGGTAGTAGCGTATAGTGTAGTAGTAGCGTATAGTGTAGTAGCAGCGTATAGTGTAGTAGCAGCGTATAGTGTAGTAGCAGCGTATAGTGTAGTAGCAGCGTATAGTGTAGTAGTAGCATATAGTGTAGTGTATAGTGTAGTAGTGGTGTATAGTGTAGTAGTGGTGTATAGTGTAGTAGTAGTGTAGTAGTAGTGTATAGTGTAGTAGTAGTGTATAGTGTAGTAGTAGTGTATAGTAGTACTAGTGTATAGTGTAGTAGTAGTGTATAGTGTAGTAGTAGTGTATAGTGTAGTAGTAGTGTATAGTGTAGTAGTAGTGTATAGTGTAGTAGTAGTGTATAGTGTAGTAGTAGTGTATAGTGTAGTAGTAGTGTATAGTGTAGTACTAGTGTATAGTGTAGTAGCAGCGTATAGTGTAGTAGCAGCGTATAGTGTAGTAGCAGCATATAGAGTAGTAGTAGTAGTGTATAGTGTAGTAGTGGTGTATAGTGTAGTAGTAGTGTATAGTGTAGTAGTGGTGTATAGTGTAGTAGTGTATAGTGTAGTAGTAGTGTATAGTAGTACTAGTGTATAGTGTAGTAGTAGTGTATAGTGTAGTAGTAGTGTATAGTGTAGTGGTAGTGTATAGTGTAGTAGTAGTGTATAGTGTAGTAGTAGTAGTGTATAGTGTGGTAGTAGCGTATAGTGTGGTAGTAGCGTATAGTGTAGTAGTAGCGTATAGTGTAGTAGCAGCGTATAGTGTAGTAGCAGCGTATAGTGTAGTAGCAGCGTATAGTGTAGTAGCAGCGTATAGTGTAGTAGTAGCATATAGTGTAGTGTATAGTGTAGTAGTGGTGTATAGTGTAGTAGTGGTGTATAGTGTAGTAGTAGTGTAGTAGTAGTGTATAGTGTAGTAGTAGTGTATAGTGTAGTAGTAGTGTATAGTAGTACTAGTGTATAGTGTAGTAGTAGTGTATAGTGTAGTAGTAGTGTATAGTGTAGTAGTAGTGTATAGTGTAGTAGTAGTGTATAGTGTAGTAGTAGTGTATAGTGTAGTAGTAGTGTATAGTGTAGTAGTAGTGTATAGTGTAGTACTAGTGTATAGTGTAGTAGCAGCGTATAGTGTAGTAGCAGCGTATAGTGTAGTAGCAGCATATAGAGTAGTAGTAGTAGTGTATAGTGTAGTAGTGGTGTATAGTGTAGTAGTAGTGTATAGTGTAGTAGTGGTGTATAGTGTAGTAGTGTATAGTGTAGTAGTAGTGTATAGTAGTAGTGTATAGTAGTGTATAGTGTAGTGTATAGTGTAGTAGTAGTAGTGTATAGTGTAGTGGTAGTGTATAGTGTAGTAGTAGTGTAGTGGTAGTGTATAGTGTAGTGTAGAGTGTAGTAGTAGTGTATAGTGTAGTAGTGGTGTATAGTGTAGTAGTAGTGTATAGTGTAGTGTAGAGTGTAGAGACTCACAGACGCCCCAGACGAGGCCGTCCATGGCGACGCTGCGCACGGCGGCCTCCAGCTGGGCCATGTCTGTCTCGTCGTCCCACGGCTTCACGTCCAGCACGATGGAGGACTTGGCGATCACCGTGGGCTCTACGCACACACACACATAGCGATGTACACACACACGCACACACACGCACACACACGCAGACACACGCAGACACACGCACAGACACACGCACACGCGCAGACACACGCAGACGCGCAGACACACGCAGACGCGCAGACACACACACGCAGACGCGCAGACACACACACGCAGACGCGCAGACACACACACGCAGACGCGCACACACGCAGACACACGCACACGCGCACACACGCAGACACACGCACACGCGCACACACGCGCACACAAGCAGACACACACGCGCACACAAGCAGACACACACGCGCACACACACAAGCAGACACACACGCGCACACACACGCGCACACACACAAGCAGACACACACGCGCACACACACGCGCACACACACAAGCAGACACACACGCGCACACACACAAGCAGACACACACGCGCACACACACAAGCAGACACACACGCGCACACACACAAGCAGACACACACACGCACACACACAAGCAGACACACACGCACACACAAGCAGACACACACGCGCACACACAAGCAGACACACACGCGCACACACAAGCAGACACACACGCGCACACACAAGCAGACACACACGCGCACACACAAGCAGACACACACGCGCACACACAAGCAGACACACACACACACAAGCAGACACACGCAAACACACAAAAGCAGACACACACAAACACACAAAAGCAGACACACACAAACACACAGACACACACACGCAAGCACACACACACACGCAAACACACACACAGACACACACACGCACAAGCAGACACACACACGCAGACACGCACACACACAGACGCACACACACACAGACGCACACACACACGCAGATACACAGCGATGTACGCACACACACAGACACACGGCGATGTACACACACACACACAGCAATGTGCACACACAGACACACACACAGCGATGTACACACACACAGCGATGTACACACAGACACACAGCGATGTACACACACACAAACACAGACACACAGCGATGTACACACACAAACACAGACACAGCGATGTACACACACACAGACACACAGCAATGTACACACACACAGCAATGTACACACATACACACACACAGCGATGTACACACACACAGACGCACAGCGATGTACACATACAGACAGACACACAGCGATGTACACACATACACACACACAGCGATGTACACACACACAGACACACAGCGATGTACAGACACACACACACAGCGATGTACACACACAGACACACACACACAGCGATGTACACACACAGACACACACACACAGCAATGTACACACATACACACACACAGCGATGTACACACACAGACACACACACACACACAGCAATGTACACACATACACACACAGCGATGTACACACACAGACACACAGCGATGTACACACACAGACACACACACACAGCAATGTACACACACACAGCGATGTACACACACACACAGACACACAGCAATGTACACACACAGACACAGACACACAGCAATGTACACACACACAGACACACAGCGATGTACACACACACACACAGCGATGTACACACACATACAGACACGCACACACACAGCGATGTACACACACACACAGCGATGTAGACACATACAGACACACAGCAATGTACACACATACAGACACACAGCAATGTACACACATACAGACACACAGCAATGTACACACACAGACACACAGCGATGTACACACACAGACACACAGCGATGTACACACACACAGACACGCACACACAGAGTGATATACACACAGACACAAACAGACACACACAGAGTGATATACACACAGACACACACAGAGTGATATACACACAGACACACACAGCGATGTACACACAGACAGCAATGGACACACACACAGTGATGTACACACAGACACACACAGTGATAGACACACAGACGGTGGGCGAGTGAGTCGGTGAGCGAGCGAGTGGGTGGGCGAGTGAGGGAGTGGGTGGGCGAGCGAGTGGGCGACCGAGTGGGTGGGCGAGCGGGTGGGCAAGTGGGGAGTGAGCGAGTGGGTGGGCGAGCGAGTGGGTGGGCGAGCGAGTGAGGAGCGAGCGAGTGGGCGAGTGAGGAGTGAGCTCACTCTTTGACTTCTTGGCAGCGTACTGCGCCAGACGCTCCTCCTTCACCTTCCGTGCCTCCTCCCCCTCCTGGAGACGCGGGGAGAGAGTTCAGACGTGTGTTGTGTGACGTGTGTGTGTGCGTGACGTGTGTGTGTGTGCGTAACGTGTGTGTGTGCGTGACGTGTGCGTGTGCGTGACGTGTGCGTGTGCGTGACGTGTGCGTGTGCGTGACGTGTGCGTGTGCGTGACGTGTGTGTGTGCGTGACGTGTGCGTGTGCGTGACGTGTGTGTGTGTGACGTGTGCGTGTGCGTGACGTGTGCGTGTGCGTGACGTGTGCGTGTGACGTGTGACGGCGTGTGTGTGACGGCGTGTGTGTAGGTGCGACGTGTATGTGTGTGAGTGGGACAACGTGTGTGTGTGACGACGTGTGTGTGTGACGACGTGTGTGTGTGACGACGTGTGTGTGTGACGAGTGTGTGTGTGTGACGTGTGTGTGTGTGTGACGTGTGTGTGTGTGACGAGTGTGTGTGTGACGACGTGTGTGTGTGACGACGTGTGTGTGTGACGAGTGTGTGTGTGTGTGTGACGTGTGTGTGACGTGTGTGTGTGTGTGACGTGTGTGTGTGTGTGACGTGTGTGTGTGTGACGTGTGTGTGTGTGACGTGTGTGTGTGTGACGTGTGTGTGTGTGACGTGTGTGTGTGTGTGACGTGTGTGTGTGGCGTGTGTGTGACGTGTGTGTGTGACGTGTGTGACGTGTGTGTGTGTGACGTGTGTGTGTGTGACGTGTGTGTGTGTGACGTGTGTGTGTGACGACGTGTGTGTGTGACGACGTGTGTGTGTGACGACGTGTGTGTGTGTGACGTGTGTGTGTGACGTGTGTGTGTGACGACGTGTGTGTGTGTGACGTGTGTGTGTGACGTGTGTGTGTGACGTGTGTGTGACGTGTGTGTGTGACGACGTGTGTGTGTGACGTGTGTGTGTGTGACGTGTGTGTGTGTGACGTGTGTGTGTGTGACGTGTGTGTGTGACGACGTGTGTGTGTGTGACGTGTGTGTGTGACGTGTGTGTGTGACGTGTGTGTGTGACGTGTGTGTGTGACGTGTGTGTGTGACGTGTGTGTGACGTGTGTGTGACGACGTGTGTGTGTGACGTGTGTGTGTGTGACGTGTGTGTGCGTCACCCACGTCATCGTCAGAGCCGAACAGGTCAATGTCGTCATCCTCCTCCTCCTGCTGCTGCTGTTTGCCGGCTCCGGTGGTGGGGGCTGAGTCGGACCCCGGCCCGGGGGGGCCCAGCTCGGAGATCGGACGGCGCACCCCGGGCAGACTGGGGGGGGAGCGGGGGGGGAGGGAGCGGGGGGGGGGGCAGGGGGGAGAGCAGAGGGGGGGAGGCACAGAGGGTAAGTGCAACTCCGATTAGCATGGTCAGCTACGTGCGGTGCGTAAAAAGTTCAACATTGGTACAGACACACGTACACTACACCGTACACTACACTACACCGTACACTACACTACACCGTACACTACACCACACACTACACCACACACTACACCACACCGTACACTACACCCCACACTGCACCGTACACTACACCACAAACTACACCGTACACTACACCACACACTACACCGTACACTACACTACACTACACCACACACTACACCAACAACAACAACAACCGCCATTCGCCACTAAGTGGCGGTGACGTCACCACGACGCTTGTGCCAGGCTATGTGCACCCTGAGGCCACGTGAAGTGTCGAACGCCCGCTGGCAGGAGGTCACGGGGCAGACCCAGGTGCCACGGGTCGACTGACTGAGATGACTGGCTGATGCACCACCTGTGCCCCCTACTGTGCCAACCTGCTGTGCTTTAGCCACCCGGCGCTCCGCTCGCTGTTGTGAGCGTCGCTCCTCCGCCCTCCGTTGTTGTTGGAGGGCGACTGCCTCCAACTGCCCAGTAGCATCCTTCACGAGCCTCCTCCACAGAGGCCGATCTTGACACCGCTGGTACCAGTCATCGGCAAGTCCACTCAGCTCCACGTCCTCCTGTACCACATCACTCCATCTCTTCTCTAGCCCGTGCCGCGCCCGCTTAGCCCCCTCAATCCGGCCAAACAAAAGCTGTTTCGGCATGCGGTGGCTGGGCATGCGGGCTACATGACCCAGCCATCGCAGCCTTGCCTGCCGAAGGAGCTCACCGATGGGACCCTGCCCAGATCTTTCAAGGATTTGTGAGCTCCTCACACAATCCAGTCTGGTTAAACCCAGGATGGATCGTAGGCAGGCCAGCCTAAATGTTTCTAACCAGCGAAGATGTTCCATTAGGGGGGTCCACGTTTCGCAAGCGTAGAGAAGGGAGGGAATGACCGTGGCCGAGAAGACCTGAAGCTTAGTGCGGAGCGACAGACCAGGTAGCTTCCACACAGCGTTACGCAACCGATGAAAAGATATTGCCGCTCGACTGATTCGGAGTGAGACCTCTGCTGTTAAACTGGAGCCAGTCATAAGCACACTGCCCAGGTATGGGAAACTCTCCACTCTCTCCACAACTGCCCCATCACCGATTGGGAGTTGTGGGGGTGGAGTGTCCGATGGTACAAAATACCCAGGCAGGTGCTTAGTTTTGGTGGGGCTGATGGTAAGGCCCCACCTCTTAGTGGCACGCTCCAGTCTCAGCAGCAGCGTCTCCAACTCCTCCTCTGACTGAGCAGCTATTACCAGGTCATCAGCATACATAACGTGGTTGAGCAATAGGGAGCCATCCCTTGACCGCACCCGGGCATCGATTAGCCTCCCATTATATCTGTACCATATGGAGATTCCCCCGGTACAGCTATTGAAGGCTTCACGAACTACGTGGTCAAAATAGATGTTAAATAATGTGGGAGCCAGAGGACATCCCTGTCGCACCCCAAGGTGTACAGGGAATGGCTCTGACTCCCGGCCACGTAGTTTTACCCGGGCCCGCTCACCATCATGAAGGTCCTTAATGATCGTGAGCAGAGGGTCAGGTACTCCAAAAGCACGAAGAACGACCCAGAGCCCAGGCCTACTGATGGTATCATAGGCCTTGACCAGGTCAATAAAGCAGAGATGTAGGTCTTGTTGGAATTCCCTACACCTCTGCTGTAGCAGACGGACAGAAAATATGGCATCTGTGCAGGACCGCCCTTTCCTGAAACCACATTGGGGCTCCGCAAGCCTCTCCTCAGCGTGCCTGGCAAGGCGATGCTGAATAATCCTTGCCAGGACCTTTCCCGGCACACTGAGGAGTGAGATGCCCCTGTAGTTGTTACAGTCTGTGCGGTCCCCCTTCTTAAAAAGGGGGACCACCAGGGCATCCTTCCAATCCTGCGGAACCCGTCCAGTGGTCCAGACTGTTGTTATGATGTCATATAGGGCAGTCTGTGCACAAACGCCACCCTCCCTCAGCATTTCGCTTGGGAGATCATCTCTGCCCGCTGCTTTTCCTGGTCTCAGACTCCGGATCGCCTTCAATACTTCCTCAGCAGATGGCACCTCAGCCAGCCACTCACAGGGGGTGACTTCATCCAATATTTGAGGCACCGCAGCCTCAGCAGGGTCATCCTCGCTTTGTGCCACGATGTTTTCCTGGCTGAGGGATTTTCCCTCCCCCAGGACCTCACAGAAATGCTCAGCAAATCTGCGAACCTGTTCCTGGGGGTCGGAAATTGGATCACCGTTTTTTCCCCTAATGATGGTAATAGGTGTGGCGCTGCAGGTTACTTTTTTGATGGAGTTAAATAGAGATTTGTGATCACGGGCCACTGAGGCAGACTCCATCTCCTCAGCAACCCGCGACCACCACCCATCCTTGCAGCGCCTCACGGCTCTCCGAACCTCCGAGCGAAGGCTGCGGTAAGCCTCCTCATTCTCTGACGTGGGATTCTGTAGCCGATGACAGTGGGCCTGTCGCTTTTTCTCAACCATCGTGAACAACTCCTCTGTCATCCAGGGTGTCTGGGGAGGTCTGGACCGCGTACCCAAAGCAGCCATTGCAGCTGCATGAGTCACAGTCCTAAACCTTGCCCATTTACCCTCGACATCAGGAGGAGTCGGGGACGATGCCAATCCCAGCCGCAAGCGATGATGAAATTCTCGCTTGCAACTTTCATCAGATAACTGAGACCAGGCCACTTTAGGTTGGAATGGGGTCCTGGGTGTACACCCACCACCGGAGTGGAAGAATGGCAGGCGCATCTTACAGATGACTAGTCGATGGTCAGAGGGCAGATCAGCTCCACGGTAGGTCCTGGTGTCAAGGACATGGGCTCGCATTCGCTGGTCCGTCACTATGTAGTCCAGCAGATGTTCTTGCTTGGACCCGGCATGCATCCATGATGTTGTGTGGATGCGCCGATGCCGGAACAGCGTGTTGGTAATTACAAGCCCATGGGCTGCACAAAAATCTAGCAGCCTCCTACCGTTGTTATTGAGCTGATCTGGCCCATGCCCTCCAATCACTCCAGACCAGGTGCCAGTATCATGACCAACTCGGGCATTGAAGTCACCCAACATGATGACTCTATCCCGAGGGGCCACTTTAGTCAGCACCTGCGACAGGAGGTCATAGAAGGCATCTGACTCATCGGCTTTGCCTGCATCCCTCCACGGATGTTCATCTTCGGTGGGGGCATAAGTAACCACGACCACCATTCCTCGCCTCCGGTTGATGGGAAAGCGAGCCCAAAGTAGCCTGGGGCTTACAGCTTCCCACACCTCACCGCCACGCTCCCACGCCCCCTTCATTCTTTTGTTCAAAAGAAGACCCACACCCTGTTGTTTGGCAGTCTGCTGCCCCAAGTAGAGGACTGTCCACCCCTCATGGTGGCAGGAGCCAGAGCCGGTCCACCGGACCTCCTGAATGCCGCATAGATCCAGGCGGTACCGGTCCAGCTCCCGACAGAGGAGTGGCAGCCTCTCCTCTGCAGTGAGCGTTCGAACATTCCACGTGGCCAACCGTAGTGGCTTTTCGTTGTTTCTGGAGTAGCCCCGAGGGTAGGTATTCAATCTCCTGGCTCCGCCAATTGGGGTTTGGCCAGGAGACGTCATAGACGCCTGGCCCCCCGGGGCCTCCGGCACAAGCTTAGTTGTTACATATTTCAGTTTAATTCGTAGTTTCGTGGTAATTAATTGAAGGTGGAGGGGTTACCAGCCCCTCGCACCCGTCCAGAGCCCCCGTTTAGCCCCTGTGGTGGACACATATGCCATGAGGGGAGGAGCCAATCAAAATTGGATCTCCCCCCACAGCGCTGTCCACGACAGAGTTGCCCGTCCGGCACCGCGAGGAGGTAGGGGGTTGTTTTTTGCCGTACACTACACCACACCGTACACTACACCACACACACCACACACTACACCGTACACTACACCACACACTACACCGTACACTACACACACTACACCGTACACTACACGATACGCTAAACTACACTGTACACTACACCGTACACTACACACACACACTACACCGTACACTACACACTACGCTACACTACACCGTACACTACACCGTACACTACACCGTACACTACACCGTACACTACACACTATGCTACACTACACTACACACACTACACCGTACACTACACACTACGCTACACTACACACACCACTACACCGTACACTACACACTACGCTACACTACACTGTACACTACACCGTACACTACACACTATACACTACACTACACACAGCAGAGGCCCCTCCCCCCCCATAGTTCGTCCTCCTTCCCTGCACCTCCGACCCGCGCGGTCGACTCCCCTCCCGCACGAGGTGGAGCTCGGGCGGGAGGGGGATGTTTACTCCCTCGCCTGCTACGCAGGAGGTCGTGGGGGCTCCATCCCGACCGCCCAGCTCCTGCTGACCCCAGCTCCCGACGACGTCTCCTGGGAGGCCGTCTACCGGGTGCGGTCGTCAACATCTCTCTCTTACCCCCCCCCCACCGCTCCGTGCCTCACCCCCCCCCCCCACCGACCTCCCCCTCCTCACCTGCTGGTGTCGTAGGAGCGGATGTGCCGGTACCAGCGCAGGGCGTGCTCCAGGTCCGCGCTGGGAGGGCCGGAGAGGCTCGCGAACACGGCCGTGTCGGCCTGCGACGGGACGTAGCTGCACACGCAGAGACACGCAGAGACACGGAGAGACACGGAGAGACACGGAGAGACACAGCTACACACACGCAGAGACATAGCGACACACACGCAGAGACATAGCTACACACACGCAGAGACACGCAGAGGCAGAGACACGCACAGACATAGCTACACACACGCAGAGACACACAGAGACACAGCTACACACACGCAAAGACATAGCTACACACACGCAGAGACATAGCTACACACACGCACAAACATAGCTACACACACGCACAGACACCCAGAGACACGCAGAGACATAGCTACAGACCCAGAGATATAGCTACACACACGCAGAGACATAGCTACACACACGCAGAGACACCCAGAGACATAGCTACACACACGCAGAGACACGCAGAGACATAGCTACACACACGCAGAGACACGCAGAGACACGGAGAGACATAGCTACACACACGCAGAGACATAGCTACACATATGCAGAGACACGCACAGACAGTGTTGAGTCTATGGTGCAGTGCTGAGTCTATGGTGCAGTGCTGAGTCTATGGTGCAGTGTTGAGTCTATGGGTGGCAGTGTTGAGTCTATGGGTGGCAGTGTTGAGTCTATGGGCAGTGTTGAGTCTATGGGCAGTGTTGAGTCTATGGTGCAGTGTTGAGTCTATGAGCAATGTTGAGTCTATGGTGCAGTGTTGAGCCTATGGGTAATGTTGAGTCTATGGTGCAGTGTTGAGTCTATGGTGCAGTGTTGAGTCTATGATGCAGTGTTGAGTCTATGGTGCAGTGTTGAGTCTATGGACAGTGTTGAGTCTATGGTGCAGTGTTGCGTTTAAGGGCAGTGTTGAGTCTATGGTGCAGTGTTGAGTCTATGGTGCAGTGTTGAGTCTATGGGTGGCAGTGTTGAGTCTATGGGCAGTGTTGAGTCTATGGTGCAGTGTTGAGTCTATGGGCAGTGTTGAGTCTATGGGTGGCAGTGCTGAGTCTATGGTGCAGTGTTGAGTCTATGGTGCAGTGCTGAGCCTATGGTGCAGTGTTGAGCCTATGGGGCAGTGTTGAGTCTATGGGGCAGTGTTGAGTCTATGGGGCAGTGTTGAGTCTATGGTGCAGTGGTGAGTCTATGGCAGTGTTGAGTCTATGGGGCAGTGTTGAGTCTATGGTGCAGTGTTGAGTCTATGGTGCAGTGTTGAGTCTATGGTGCAGTGTTGAGTCTATGGTGCAGTGTTGAGTCTATGGTGCAGTGTTGAGTCTATGGTCCACTGTTGAGTCTATGGTGCAGTGTTGAGACTATGGGGCAGTGTTGAGTCTATGGTGCAGTGTTGAGTCTATGGTGCAGTGTTGAGTCTATGGGGCAGTGTTGAGTCTATGGTGCAGTGTTGAGTCTATGGTGCAGTGTTGAGTCTATGGGTGGCAGTGTTGAGTCTATGGCAGTGTTGTGTCTACGAGTGGGAGTGTTGAGTCTACGAGTGGCAGTGTTGAGTCTATGGTGCAGTGCTGAGTCTATGGCAGTGTTGAGTCTATGGTGCAGTGTTGAGTCTATGGTGCAGTGTTGAGTCTATGGTGCAGTGTTGAGTCTATGGGCAATGTTGAGTCTATGGTGCAGTGTTGAGCCTATGGGTAATGTTGAGTCTATGGTGCAGTGTTGAGCCTATGGGTAATGTTGAGTCTATGGTGCAGTGTTGAGTCTATGGTGCAGTGTTGAGTCTATGGTGCAGTGTTGAGTCTATGGTGCAGTGTTGAGTCTATGGGCAATGTTGAGTCTATGGTGCAGTGTTGAGTCTATGGGCAATGTTGAGTCTATGGTGCAGTGTTGAGCCTATGGGTAATGTTGAGTCTATGGTGCAGTGTTGAGTCTATGGTGCAGTGTTGAGTCTATGGTGCAGTGTTGAGTCTATGGTGCAGTGTTGAGTCTATGGACAGTGTTGAGTCTATGGTGCAGTGTTGCGTTTAAGGGCAGTGTTGAGTCTATGGTGCAGTGTTGAGTCTATGGGTGGCAGTGTTGAGTCTATGGGCAGTGTTGAGTCTATGGTGCAGTGTTGAGTCTATGGTGCAGTGTTGAGTCTATGGTGCAGTGTTGAGTCTATGGTGCAGTGTTGAGTCTATGGTGCAGTGTTGAGTCTATGGGCAATGTTGAGTCTATGGTGCAGTGTTGAGTCTATGGGCAATGTTGAGTCTATGGTGCAGTGTTGAGCCTATGGGTAATGTTGAGTCTATGGTGCAGTGTTGAGTCTATGGTGCAGTGTTGAGTCTATGGTGCAGTGTTGAGTCTATGGTGCAGTGTTGAGTCTATGGACAGTGTTGAGTCTATGGTGCAGTGTTGCGTTTAAGGGCAGTGTTGAGTCTATGGTGCAGTGTTGAGTCTATGGGCAGTGTTGAGTCTATGGGTGGCAGTGCTGAGTCTATGGTGCAGTGTTGAGTCTATGGTGCAGTGCTGAGCCTATGGTGCAGTGTTGAGTCTATGGGGCAGTGTTGAGTCTATGGGGCAGTGTTGAGTCTATGGGGCAGTGTTGAGTCTATGGTGCAGTGGTGAGTCTATGGCAGTGTTGAGTCTATGGGGCAGTGTTGAGTCTATGGTGCAGTGTTGAGTCTATGGTGCAGTGTTGAGTCTATGGTGCAGTGTTGAGTCTATGGTGCAGTGTTGAGTCTATGGTGCAGTGTTGAGTCTATGGTCCACTGTTGAGTCTATGGTGCAGTGTTGAGACTATGGGGCAGTGTTGAGTCTATGGTGCAGTGTTGAGTCTATGGGGCAGTGTTGAGTCTATGGTGCAGTGTTGAGTCTATGGTGCAGTGTTGAGTCTATGGGTGGCAGTGTTGAGTCTATGGCAGTGTTGTGTCTACGAGTGGGAGTGTTGAGTCTACGAGTGGCAGTGTTGAGTCTATGGTGCAGTGCTGAGTCTATGGCAGTGTTGAGTCTATGGTGCAGTGTTGAGTCTATGGTGCAGTGTTGAGTCTATGGTGCAGTGTTGAGTCTATGGTGCAGTGTTGAGTCTATGGTGCAGTGTTGAGTCTATGGTGCAGTGTTGAGTCTATGGTGCAGTGTTGAGTCTATGGTGCAGTGTTGAGTCTATGGTGCAGTGTTGAGTCTATGGTGCAGTGTTGAGTCTATGGTGCAGTGTTGAGTCTATGGTGCAGTGTTGAGTCTATGGTGCAGTGTTGAGTCTATGGTGCAGTGTTGAGTCTATGGTGCAGTGTTGAGTCTATGGTGCAGTGTTGAGTCTATGGTGCAGTGTTGAGTCTATGGTACAGTGTTGAGTCTATGGTACAGTGTTGAGTCTATGGTGCAGTGTTTAGTCTATGGGTGGCAGTGTTGAGTCTATGGTGCAGTGTTGAGTCTATGGGTAGTGATGAGTCTATGGGTGGCAGTGCTGAGTCTATGGTACAGTGTTGAGTTGACTACAGTATATATTATAGACTGCCAGTACCCCTCGATGTAGCTCTTGTCAGCCAGGAAGTCATTGAGGACCTGGAGGCCGGAGCGAGATTTCAGATCCCCAAAACCCATTGTGGACACCTGGGCGAGGATAGTCGCAGCATCATCATCATCATGATCATGAGTAGCATCATCATCATCAGCATCATCATCATGAGTAGCATCATCATCATCAGCATCATCATCAGGTGTCATGAGTAGCAGTAGTAGCATCATCATCATGTCGCATCATCGTCAGCATCATCATGAGTAACAGTAGCAGCATCATCATGTGTCATGAGTAGCAGTAATAGCATTATCAGCAGCACTATAATCATCATCAGCAGCACTATAATCATCAGCAGCATCATCATGAGTAACAGTCGTAGCATCATCATCAGTAGCAGCATCATCATCAGGTGTCATGAGTAGCAGTAGTAGCATCATCAGCATCATCATGTCGCATCATCATCACTATAATCATCATCAGCACTATAATCATCATCAGCAGCACTATAATCATCATCAGCACGGTCACTCCAACCGCGTGGCGTTTACACTGCAGGAGAAATCCCATGAGCTACAAAGCTCTTTAGCCACAGCCGTGCAAATCGTCTAATCACCATCACCAGGGTCTATCCACTGCTGGATGGAGACTACCCTCACGACCACCCCCCCCCCCCCACTCTCACACCCCCCCACCATCAAGCCCCCCCCCCCACCATCAAGCCCCCCACTCTCACAAGGCCTACTGACAAGGAGGTGGAAATCGATTCCTAGAATCACGATTCTACCGATTCCGAAAATTTCACGTTTCTACCTGCGATCCAACGGTCGATTACCGCGGCGCGCACAAGGCCGACGGGGCGCGCGCCGGTGATGAATCGATCCGGTTTGTTTAAGAAACTTAAACGAATCGATTCCGCTCACCATCAACTTCCCCCACATCCACCGATGACGCAGCGCGCTCACGCGCGCCCCCCCCCCTACTCACCGAGCGCGCGACTTAAATTTTTTAGTTTTTTTTATGAATGGGGGTTTCGCAGCGTCACGTGACCGCCGCTCAGCGACGATAGTTTTTTTATGAATGGGCTCGGCGCGCGAGACCTACCGCGAGAGTTGTGACGAGGGGAGAGAAAGAAGGCGGCGCGTGGCTGCGCGCGACTCTTTATAGTGGTGGGGGGCAGGGGCGGGGCTTGGGGTGTGGCTCCACCCTCCCTGGGGGGCAGGGCTACGATGACAGGGGGTGTGGTTACACCGTTAGGGCCAATGCGTGAGGGGGGGGGCTCCAGTTATTAGGGGCGGGGCTACATTGACAGTAGGCGGAGGCTACGATGACAGTAGGCGGGGCTACGCTGGCAGAGGGCGGGGCTACATTTACTGTAGGCGGGGCTACGCTGACAGGGGGCGGGGCTACAATGAAAGAGCAAACGCATGGGCGCGGGCTGGAGAGGGAGGGGCTCCACTCATTAGGGGCGGTGCTACATTTACCGTGGGCGGAGCTACATTGACAGTGGGCGGGGCTACGACAGGGGGTGGGGCTACACCGGAAGGGCAAATGCATGGCGGGCGGGGTGGGGCTGTAGGGGGCGGGGCTCCCACACGATTAGGGGCGGGGGCTATGCGACAGCAGGGCGGGAGGGGGAGAGGGGGGCGTGGTTATGGGAACCGGGGGGCGGGGTTTGCCGCAGTGGAGGGTGGGGCTACGGAAGCTCAGAGAGGCCGGTTACCGGGGCCGCGTCGGCAATTTAACAAACGCGATTTAAAAGTTGCCAACGCAAGCCGGCGGCTGGTGAGTGAATGCAGGGTGTTGAAATGGTTCGACGTTTCGGGCGGTGGCCCTTCTTTAATGGCACCCAGGTGGTGGAGGACGACGCATTGACGACGGTGGCATCACGAGGTGCCAGGGCGAGCCGTGGGTGGCGTGGTGGGTTAGTGAATGAGTGGATGGGTGAATGAGTGGGTTGGTGAATGAGTGGGTGAATGCATGGGTGGGTGATTGAGTGGTGAATGAGTGGGTAAATGAGTGGGTGAATGAGTGGGTGAATGACTGAGTAGGTGAATGAGTGGGTGAATGAGTTGGTGAGTGAACGAGTGGATGAATGAGTGGATGGGTGAGTGAATGAGTGAATGGCTGGGTGAGGGACTGAGTGGACGACTGTGGGTGAGTGAATGAGTGGATGGGTGATTGGGTGAGTGAATGAGTGGGTGAATGAGTTGATGAATAAACGAGTGGGTGAATGAGTGGATGGGTGAGTGAATGAATGGGTGAGTGAATGAATGAGTGAATGGCTGGGTGAGGGACTGAGTGGATGACTGTGGGTGAGTGAATGAGTGGATGGGTGAGTGAATGAATGGGTGATTGGGTGAGTGAATGAGTGAGTGAATGGCTGGGTGAGGGACTGAGTGGACGACTGTGGGTGAGTGAATGAGTGGATGGGTGAGTGATTGGGTGAGTGAATGAATGAGTGGATGGCTGGGTGAGGGACTGAGTGGACGACTGGGTGAGTGAATGAGTGGATGGGTGAGTGGATGGGTGAGTGAATGAATGGGTGAGTGAATGAGTGGGTGAATGAGTTGGTGAGTGAACGAGTGGGTGAATGAGTGGATGGGTGAGTGAATGAATGAGTGAATGGCTGGGTGAGGGACAGAGTGGACGACTGTGGGTGAGTGAATGAGTGGATAGGTGAGTGAGTGAATGAGTGAATGGCTGGGTGAGGGACTGAGTGTACAGGGGCAAACAAGCAAAAAAACCCAGCCTCTGATGAAACATTGGCGTTGAGACGAGGCTCTAAAGAAGGCTGTCTCTGGTGTGGACCAATCAGTTTCAAAGACAACGCCAATGATATTACCAGAGCGTGGTGTTTTGGTAAAAGGTTTCAGTTTGGTGTTATAGCATCTTAACACGACTCCTGGGTTATTTTTTATTGCCAAAAGAAAGGGGAAAACACTATTCTAGATTTAAAGCTTTCGCGACCGCAAGGATCCATACTCTTTGGTTCTATTCGGTAAAGTCACGTAGGTTAACAAAAATAAAACAACAAAAAATCACGACGTTTCGGCCACGACACAAGCGCCCTTCATCAGGTGAAGGGACCGGACTGTCCAGAGGACAGCGCTGGAGTGAAACACAGTCCGGTCCCTTCACCTGATGAAGGCCACTTGGGTTGTGTGGCCGAAACGTCGGGAAAACACCATCCTCATATTTTGGCCCTGGCAAAGGAGGTCACCGTTTTGGAGCTGTGCCGGAATGTTGCGGCGGGGAAAAGAACTCCCGTGTGTGAGATTCGTTTTGTTAACCTTTTTCCTGCAATAAAATATTGAGTTTCATATTCTTATCTCTTGATACTGAGTCGTAGGTTCCTCCTCCTCGAGGCGTGCGTGTGAGTGTGAGTGTGCCGTGCATCGTACTCACACTCACGCACACACTCACACACTCTCACACACACACCCACACTCACTCAGTCACACACTCACTCACACACTCAGACTCACTCACACAACAACAACAACCGCCATTCGCCACTAAGTGGCGGTGACGTCACCACGACGCTTGTGCCAGGCTATGTGCACCCTGAGGCCACGTGAAGTGTCGAACGCCCGCTGGCAGGAGGTCACGGGGCAGACCCAGGTGCCACGGGTCGACTGACTGAGATGACTGGCTGATGCACCACCTGTGCCCCCTACTGTGCCAACCTGCTGTGCTTTAGCCACCCGGCGCTCCGCTCGCTGTTGTGAGCGTCGCTCCTCCGCCCTCCGTTGTTGTTGGAGGGCGACTGCCTCCAACTGCCCAGTAGCATCCTTCACGAGCCTCCTCCACAGAGGCCGATCTTGACACCGCTGGTACCAGTCATCGGCAAGTCCACTCAGCTCCACGTCCTCCTGTACCACATCACTCCATCTCTTCTCTAGCCCGTGCCGCGCCCGCTTAGCCCCCTCAATCCGGCCAAACAAAAGCTGTTTCGGCATGCGGTGGCTGGGCATGCGGGCTACATGACCCAGCCATCGCAGCCTTGCCTGCCGGAGGAGCTCACCGATGGGACCCTGCCCAGATCTTTCAAGGATTTGTGAGCTCCTCACACAATCCAGTCTGGTTAAACCCAGGATGGATCGTAGGCAGGTCAGCCTAAATGTTTCTAACCGGCGAAGATGTTCCATTAGGGGGGTCCACGTTTCGCAAGCGTAGAGAAGGGAGGGAATGACCGTGGCCGAGAAGACTCACACACACACTCACTCACACTCACTCAGTCACACACTCACACACTCACTCTCACACTCACTCACACACTCTCACACACACTCACACACACACAGTCACACTCACTCACATTCTCACGCTCACTCACACTCTCACACGCACTCACACACTCACTCACACACACACTCACTCAGTCACACACTCACACTCACTCACACACTCACTCACACACTCACTCTCACACACACTCACACACACACAGTTACACTTACACTCTCACACTCACTCACACACTCAGTCACACACTCACTCAGTCACACACTCACTCAGTCACACACTCACTCACACACTCACTCACACTCTCACACACTCACACTCTCACACACTCACACTCTCACACACACTCTCACACACTCACACTCTCACACACACACACTCTCACACACACTCTCACACACTCACACTCTCACACTCTCACACACACTCACTCACACACTCTCACACTCACACACACTCACTCACACACACACTCAGTCAGAGACGAGGTAGTCACACACACTCAGTCAGAGACGAGGTAGTCACACACACAGTCAGAGACGAGATAGTCACACAGTCAGAGACGAGGTAGTCACACTCACAGTCAGAGACGAGGTAGTCACACAGTCAGAGACGAGGTAGTCACACACACTCAGTCAGAGAAGAGGTAGTCACACACAGTCAGAGACGAGGTTGTCACACTCACTCAGTCAGAAACGAGGTAGTCACACACACACAGTCAGAGACGAGGTAGTCACACACACACTCAGTCAAAGACGAGGTAGTCACACACACAGTCAGAGACAAGGTAGTCACACAGTCAGAGACGAGGTAGTCACACAGTCAGAGACGAGGTAGTCACACACACTCAGTCAGAGACGAGGTAGTCACACTCAGTCAGAGACGAGGTAGTCACACTCACACCCAGTCAGAGACGAGGTAGTCACACACACTCAGTCAGAGACGAGGTAGTCACACACACTGAGTCAGAGACGAGGTAGTCACACTCAGTCAGAGACGAGGTAGTCACACTCACACCCAGTCAGAGACGAGGTAGTCACACACACTCAGTCAGAGACGAGGTAGTCACTCAGTCAGAGACGAGGTAGTCACACTCACTCAGTCAGAGACGAGGTAGTCACACACACAGTCAGAGACGAGGTAGTCACACTCACTCAGTCAGAGACGAGGTAGTCACACACACTCACAGTCAGAGACGAGGTAGTCACACACACACAGTCAGAGACGAGGTAGTCACACACACACTCAGTCAGAGACGAGGTAGTCCACACTCACTCAGTCAGAGACGAGGTAGTCACACACACACAGTCAGAGACGAGGTAGTCACTCACAGTCAAAGACGAGGTAGTCACACTCAGTCAGAGACGAGGTAGTCACACACACTCAGTCAGAGACAAGGTAGTCACACTCACTCAGAGACGAGGTAGTCACACTCACTCAGTCAGAGACGAGGTAGTCACACAGTCAGAGACGAGGTAGTCACACTCACACAGTCAGAGATGAGGTAGTCACACAGTCAGAGACGAGGTAGTCACACACACTCACAGTCAGAGACGAGGTAGTCACACACACTCACAGTCAGAGACGAGGTAGTCACACACACTCACAGTCAGAGACGAGGTAGTCACACACACACAGTCAGAGACGAGGTAGTCACACACACTCAGTCAGAGACGAGGTAGTCACACTCACAGTCAGAGACGAGGTAGTCACAGACACTCAGTCAGAGACGAGGTAGTCACACACACTCAGTCAGAGACGAGGTAGTCACACACACTCAGTCAGAGACGAGGTAGTCACACACACTCAGTCAGAGACGAGGTAGTCACACAGTCAGAGACGAGGTAGTCACACTCACTTAGTCAGAGACGAGGTAGTCACACACACTCAGTCAGAGACGAGGTAGTCACACTCAGTCAGAGACGAGGTAGTCACACTCACACCCAGTCAGAGACGAGGTAGTCACACTCACTCAGAGACG